TTCAGCATATAGCCAAGGCTGGTCTTGAACTCTTGATCCTCTGCCTCTGCCTCCTGAGTACTGGTATTACAGATATGCACCAGACTGGGCATGTTGATTTGACCAGGCATCCAGTTCCTGATGAAAACAGGGCATTTTAGATGGCCCTTTTGAGTTCCAGCAATGGTCACATGGAACAACAGAACCAAGGGGAACTGGGAACTTGTTTCTCCACATACAATCACATGTAAGCATTGTTAATTTGGAATCTGCTACTTAAATGCTGGAATTGTAGTTCCCCAGGGCTTGAAACTGAGAGGATCCATATCATTAGCTTCTAACTCTGGAAACAAATGCTGTTGGGGAAACACTTGAATCGGGGGTTAATTCTCCGAATTAACCTCTGTGTAGAAACCAGTGTTAGTTCAGGGTTATTTACATGGATCCACTGGAAACGTATAGATGCATGGTGTATGTGTGCACTGTTAAGTCTCAGCAATAGCAGTGGGAATTATTTGGAACTTAGACCAACAACAGATGTTTTGTTTTTTTCCAAGAAGGAATATTTCAATCAGAATTGCAAGCACATGGTGATAATAAAAAAGCATATTGAGCCAGGCATGGTGGTGCAGACCATAATTCCAGCATTTAGAAGCTAAAGCAAAAGGACCATGAATTCAAGGCCAGCCTGTTCTACATAGCAAGACTCTAGGGGGCTGGGAGAAGAAAGACTGAATTTAGTTTGATTATTGTTTTAAAATTTGATGTACAAAAGAAAACCCACAGAATCAGCTAGTCTGGGCTCTTAAGAAACTGAACCAACAACCAGGGAGCCCACATGGTGTTGACTTAGGCACTCTGCATATATGTGACAATTGGGTAGCTCAATCTTCTTGTGGGGTTCCTAACAGTAGGAGCAGGGGCTGTCTCTGACTCTTTTTGCCAACTTTTGGAACACTACTCCTCATACTGAGTTCCTTGTCCAGCCTACTAGGAGAGGTACCTAGTCTTACTGCAACTTGATTGCCATGTTTGGTTGATAGCCATGGGAGGGTTGACCTTTTCTGTAAAGAAACAGAGGAGGAGTGAATGGGGAAGGGGGAGGGACTGGGAGGAGAAGAGGGAGGGATGTTAAGAAAACATTAATTAATTAAAATATGGAGTAGACTGATGAGGGATGGCCTTCTGTATATATGTTTCTCTTATTGATTGATGAATAAAACACTGTTTGGCCAATAGAGGCAGGAAGATAGGCAGGACTAGGAGATGAGAATTCTGGGAAAGGTAGGCAGAGAGATGTCTTTGGAGAGATGCTGTGTAGAGACCAGGAGGATAGGATGCACCAGGCATTCTCTGGTAAGATAAGGCCATGTAGAAATACATAGATTGGTAGTTATGGGTTAATAATTAAGACAGTAAGAAGCCCTAATCATCAGCCAACAGTTTTATAACTAATATACTGTCTCTGTGTGTTCCTTTGGGGCTGAAGCATCAGGACCTGGCAGGACAAGGAAATTCCAGCAACAGTAGGCAATTCATCCCTTGCTTCCTGTGCCTAAAACACATGGATGCCTGTATTCACCCACCCCTGCACCATGGTGCCTCAGGTGAAGGTGAGGGGGTGGGGAGGGAGGCACTGGGCATAGTGATTCGAGGCTATAAACCCAGCACCCAGAAGCTAATGTTTGTGGAACTCAAAAGAGAGCCACCCTAGGCTACATAGTGAAATGCTGTTTCATATCCCTTAATTATTTCTAAATAATAATAATAAAAAACTGTTTGAACAGACACTTTTGAGCACTCACATAGTAGAGGCCTGCATCTAAACTACAAACCTATTTGTTTTACTTCTAGTGTTGAAAAAAAACCTTCAAACTGGATGTGTCAACTCATGCCTATAACCCCAGCCCTGGGAAGAGAGAAGTAGGAGCATCCTGAGTTCAAGGTCATTCTTGGCTACACGGTAAGTCAGAGGTAAGTAACGCTGGGCCTCATGAGATGGGGAGAGAAAAGCATCCAATGTCTTCCTGCAGGGTGTGAGCTTCCAGTTTGCCATGGTCTCCACCACTCCCTATTCTGCCACGCCTTGTCTAATATGCCCACTGAGGCTGTCTGCTCGGCTCACATAGATAGCTGAGTTGGTAGTAACTAGACAGTAACTACACATCTTCCAGTCCTTTCACTTTTTAGGGCTTTCTTGCTTTCTAGTGGTCGCCAGCTTTCTCCTGGCCCCTGAGCCCGGTTCAGAAATCCTTTTCACCTCTCTTCACTCATCTTTAACCAGAGAGTTTTTCTCTCTTCCTATCTTCCGATTTCACCACTGCTGCTAAGGGCCCTCTGAGCAGGAGTCAGGCAAGCTGGCCTCTTTGAAATGGCACTTCTGTGACCCTCAGGGAGGTCAGGTCAGTGTTCTCCTCCCGGGCCCAGCAGGGGGAGAACCAGGGAGAAATCTCTCCCCAGTTCTTTACACACACACACACGCTGATTCACAGAAACACTGCAGGCTCAATTTAACCCCCTACCAGCCCCACCCCTGGCCAAAAACGCTCACTAGTTTAGACAGCTGTGGTCAGCCAGAGGTACACTGTGGCCAAGTCAGACCAGCTCTAGAGGCAACTGCTAGACATCCAGCAGAGGGTATCTTGAATTCAGCCAAGGTATAAGTATTTACACCAAAGAAACCAGCAAGTGACAGAAACCAAGGCTTTAGGTGTGTTGGCAGAGAGCAGTTTTGAACAAACTCCTTCCTTAGGCCCAGTCCGAATTCCCTTCTGCCATGACAATGGGCAGAAACTATCAGCTCAGTTCTACCTAGTTCAGTTTTGTGCATGTGTGGGCTTTATTTTTAATTTTGCGTATCTGTGTGTAAGAACGTGCATGTGTGAATGGGTGTGTTCGTACCTTGGAGTTCAGATCCCCAGGAGCTGGAGTTACACTCAGCTGTGAGCTGTCCAACATAGGTGCTGGGGACTGAACTCAGGACCTCTGGAAGAGCAGCCAGTGCTCTCAAACACTGAGCCATCTCTCCAGTCCACTTCTACTCCTTTTTTTTTTTTAAGAACTGTATTTTAGGTTTTAAGATACACTGTATGTCTTCATTTTAATGGTCCCAGACGGGGGTTTTAGTCAAGATATGCTGTGACCATGTTTCACTCTCCCTTCCAAAGCAGTTATTAAACTAATGACACATCTTAGAGTCTGGGAAATGAGATCATAACTGTCAATAGCAAAGTCAGTTATGGGAACCAGCCTCCGTGTCCTGTGTCATGTCCCCCAGGTGACAATGTTCTGAAGGAGGCATTCTGAGACACGTATGGTGACTAAACTCATAAACTCACCCCTCTTCTCATTTGGAAGGGAGAACGCAATGGCTCAGCATGTAGGGGAGCAGGCCTGATAGTTGTAGTGCTATGAGGTGCTGGTGACCAAACACAAGCTAGGCATTCTGTCACCGAGCTGCACCCCAACCCCTTCGTCCTTAGCCGAAACCAGGCTGAACCGTCTTCTGGGCTAGCATTTAAACACCAGAGACAAAGAAATGAGTGAAAACTGGAACCAGTCTCCACCCTGGGGACAGGCTCAGCCGTGTGGGGAAAAATCCCTTGAGCTGGTGCCGGGAGTTCAGACTGTGCACACACAACCAGTCCAGCATCCTCTTTTGAGTCAGCTTCCTGGTTCCACATGAGCGCTCTGCGCTTCACACTTTCCTTCTCTATGGTCTCAGTTTCCCCCACCATGTTCCTTGCCAGAGCAGCGTGTGGCGGTGAAGGAGGAGAAAGCTAGATAGGTCTTGAAATAATCTCTGCAAGCTGTCCCAGGCAGCTGCCCCGGGCTCCTCCCAACTAGCAGCGCAGAAGAGAGCCCTTGTGGGCTAAATCTGTGAACACTCCTCAGGCTGAGGCCAAGAGAGCAGCAGCCCCAAAGGAAACCACGGTAGAGAGTCCCCTCGTGAAAGCCCGTCTGACTATCTAGCAGTCACATCCTGGCTTCTGCTGCTTTGTTCCCTCCATTCATTGTCTCAGATTCCTGGTGGCACGACTAAACTAACCTCACACTCTGGCATGTTTGGTAGCCTTCACCTTCCTCTTTTCTAGAAACAGGACTAAGGTTGGAGGGAGTCATCGTAAGGGAGACTCGCAATGCCCTGCAGAAGGAAGGCTAACAGGCCAACTCTACCCTCGCCCTAGATGCACTTCCTCTTCCTAGCTCTAGGGGCGCAACGGTCATGAAGATGCTCGGCAGTGTCCTGCAAGGAAACAGGCTGGTTGCAGGTCAAGGGCTGCACCCACCGGCACCTCACGTACTCGAAGATGATGAGTATAAGGAATGCTGGGATTTCGATATGGCTTGAACCCGAACTCGTGCTGAAATGAAGCACTATGAAGTATTAGGCGAGTAGAAATGTAATCCAACTGTGAGGTTTACAGGTGGGGCCTTTGAGGGGTGATTAGGATTGACATCATTACCCTACAGCCCTGTGAGTGAGTCTGGTGGCTTTATAGGAAGAAGGAGGGCCAGTGAGATGGCAGCTAAAGGCGGTTGCCACCAAGCCTGACTGCCTGAGTTGCATACCAGGGACCAACATGGTAGAAGACAACACATTCCAGCAAGTTATCTTCTGACCTCGCTCCATGCAGATACCTCGGCATATGCATGCCCACGCTTGAAATATGTCAAATAAACTGTAATTTGTAATTAAAGGTGAGACTAAAAGGGAGAGAAGCAAGGCGTGGTGGCACGTGCCTGAAATCCCAGCAGAGGCAGAAGGATGGCTATAGAGTGTTTGTTTTGTTTTTTTTGTTTTGTTTTGTTTTGCTTTTGTTTACGAGACAGGGTTTCTCGGTATTGTTTTGGAGGCTGTCTGTCCAGCCTGGCCTCAAACTCACAGAGATCCGCCTGCCTCTGCCTCCCGAGTGCTGGGATTAAAGGCGTGCCCCAGGCTATAGGGGTTTTTTGCCTGCTTTGCACAAGGAGTTTCAGGCCAGGCACAGCTATACACGCGCCCACTTTCTGTCTCTTACCATGCAGTGTCCTGTGATGCTTCACAGCTTTGCCAGCAAGAAGGCCATCACCAATGCCAGATGCAACGACACATGCCTGTAATCTCAGAACTCAGGTAGAGGCAAGAGAATCAGGAGTTCAAAGTCATCATCAGTTACATAGCAGTGTCAAGACTAGTCTGGGTTGCTTGAGATCCTGTTCCAGAAAAAATATATATATAGTCATCAATCAGCCCATGCAGCAGCAGAAACAACAGAGGTCCCGCCTCAACAAGATAGGAGAACTGATTCCCCAAAGTCATCCTCTGTGCTCCATACACAGGCCATGACACTCTCAGGCATATGCATGCCCTTCACACACACACACACACACACACACACACACACACACACACACACACACACACACAGGCGCGAGCGACACAATTAATTAATCCCAATAGTGGGATAGTGGGAAACTATGGCCTTTCCATCTTCCCCCGGCTGCTTTGAATCTGTAGCCTTCTCTGCAATAAACTGTGATGGTGATTGGAAAAGCACTCCTGAGTTCAATTAACTAATTAAAAACTAATTTAACCTTGGCCCAGAAGACCTCTAGACTTTACCCTTGCTCATGAAAGGCCATTGTGCTTGCCTAGGGGTCTTCAGTGAACCAGAGCATAACAAGTGCTGTAGGCTGGAACAGCCACACCAGAAAGGGTAACAGCATGATTCAGGGTGGGGCTTCAGGCAAGCTTCTCGGTTTGGCAGGACTCCACGACATGCCACTTGTCAATGCCAGGAGTAGCATACCCTGACTTCCCAGGAGAAGTTTGGAACTTCCCTGGTCTCCACCCTATGTGTTGTTTCCCTCAGCAGATTTTTGTTGCTACAGAAAAACTTGTCTGTTCAAAATAGACAAAAATGGAGTCTCAGCATCAAGTCCCCTCCCATCCAATAAGGCCTAGAAACCATCAGACATTCCGTCATGGCTACGGAAAATGGAGATTGCTTACACTGAACAGGGACACTGAGGAAGAGCCTGGGGTCTTTATTTTTGATCAATTGTCCTCACTCTGTCCTTTGGACAGCTGAGGGAGTTTCATATTTTCTTCAGGGATCGTCAAACATGAAAACTCCTTCAGAACAAGATGGCTGCTCTAAGATTTTGCTACCTGCCAACACCATGGCTCTCAAGTTCACTGTCCCTTGAAGACTGTTGACCCCACTCGTTAATTTATGTCGCAAATAATACGAAAGCAGTGATCTGAGGTATTTATGTACCCATTGTATTTTAAAGTGGGTATCGGCTTTCCATAAATTGTACCCAAAAGCACAGAAATCTTTACAGTCCAACTTGTGACGTATTTTCATCATCTTCAAGGCCCAGATAACTATGCCATCTCCTCCTTTCTGCCTCCTTAGAGTTGTCCCAACTCTGGAGACTGTGGCTCAGCCTCCTTCCTCTTGCCTCTGCTATAAGAAACTGTGACCATGAATGGACGATCACTCAATGTGTCTTCTAGCAAATTACTGAGCCTTGAAGATAGTCTTAGAGATTTCCAAACTTGCAAAAGGTGTGAGAAGTGAGAGTGGCCTTATGGGAAACGATGCCTGTGGTCATGGTAGGCTCCTGGACTTTCCCGACTCTCCAACATCTCCTTCTCCAGGTCCCACGGACAGCCTGCCCCACCTCTCTGGGCTCTCCATGAACACTCTTCACACACATTTCCTCAATAACTCTTTCACATCTGGTCCCAGCTTGGACCTGAAGGAACTGGCTTCCATGAACTCCCAGCATTGGAGAAGCAGACTCCTGGATCTCACCCCAGACCCATGAAGTGAAAGCCAGGGTGTGACCTGGAGGTCTTCAGCTCTGGATGGCACCTGCCACCCTGTAAACAACATTCACCTTCCAGAGCTTTTGCTTCACAAAGCCCACTGCCAGGATCTAGTCGTAAATGAACTGAAATGGGCCCATTAAGATGGAGAAATACCCATACCTGGCAACTTCTAATTACAGATTTCACCCACCTAACAAGGATAATGGAGTATCCTCTGGCTTACATATCCTTAGCTGGTAAATTCAGTCATTGAGAGATGATAGGATCATGAGAGAGCTCTGATTTCATCCTGGATTAATCCATTGGTAGATTGGAAATTAGATGGTTTATTGGGAGTTGGGGACCTGGGCCTTTTTCAGGAAATAGTAGGTCACTGAATGTCTTCAAAGGATATCTCGTCCTTAGCCCCTTCCTCTCCCTCCCCTTTTTCTTTTAGGTTTCCATGAGGCAAGAGGCTTCCTCTACCACACACCCCCACTGCCATGATGTTTCTGCCTTCCTTCCTGAGGGCCTAAAAGCAATGAAGATGATCCCCTCCTACCCCACCCCAACACACAGGCTAAAACTACTAAACTGTGATAAAGAAAAAGCTGAACAATACAGAAAGAATACAGTGTTAGATAGATCATACGAGGATCAGCAGGGAGACAGGAAGAGGCTTACAGTCCCTAACAGGTTGGTGATTTAGCAGAGTGGCTGGGTCCCTTTTCTGAATCCATACTGGAGACACTATAGAAAGTTGAGAGGAGGACTCCAGGAACCAGTATCAGAGGCAAGGAAGCATATGAATCCCTTGGGGCGATGACTGACATCAGGCCTTAGCACTCAAGTACACATAATGCCAGAGTCCAGGGAATGTGAACTCCTGACTAGAACATTGTTACTCCTCTGGAAAGCCAAGGAACGTTCAGACAGACCAAAAGTGTAAGCGGAAGTTTCTCCATCCCACCCTGTCCCATAGTCACCTTTAAATAGTCACTCAGAGGCTTAATATTAATTACAGAATATTTGGCCTACAGTTCCGGCTTATTACTAACTCTGTGTAGCTCTGTAGACCAGGCTGGCCTCAAACTCACAGAGATCCACCTGCCTCTGTTTCCCGAGTGCTGGGATTAAAGGCATGCACTACCACCACCCGGTTTAACTTTTGCTTTTAAATTAACCCACTTTTATTAATCTATGTTTTGCCACGTGTCTCGTTGCTTTACCCATATTCTAATACATCTGTTCCTCTGGTAGCTGGCTGGCATCTCTCCTGACTCTGCCCCTCAGTTCAATTGTTCTGCCTAACCTTATCCTGTCTTGCCATAGGCCAAACAGCTATTATTACTAACCAATGGGAGTAATATATATTAACAGCATACAGGAAGATCATTCCACAGCACAAGAGTATGAAATAAGTAAGTACAATTAAGGAACTAAAGTAGAATCCATATGAAACAAGAAATTAAATGGAACACATAGAACTATTATGAATGGTCTACATAAAAGAACATTAGAAACAAAATTTAAGGTACTGGTAGAGGTTGTGCTGTCGCAGATGCACTATTCTTCAAATCACTTGTAATATGTCAGTAAAGGGAGGAGCACAGCCAGGCCATCAGGATGGCTCAGCAGGTAAAGATGCCTGCTGCCAAGGTTAATGACCTGAGTTCAATATCCAGTATCCACAAGATAGAAGGAGAAAACTGATTCCTGAAAGTTCTCCTCTGGCATCCACATGCATGCACTTACCCACACACACATATGTAATCAAATACACAAATAAATAAATAAAAGTTAACATAAATATAAAACCAGAGTCAGTGGTGGCTTTAATCCCAGCTGCCTGGTAGTTATGTCTTTAATTCCATCTTGAAGGCTGAAGTAGATAGGATCACTTCAAGCCAGGAGTCTGAAGCTTTCTCAATAACATAGTGAGAGTCTGTCTCAAAAACAAGAAAAGACAAGACAAGACAAAAAGATTGGTCTTTTGGCTGGAGAGACGGCTCAGTGGTTAAGCACACTGGTTGCCCTTTCAAGAGGACCAGGGTTCATGTCCCAGCACTCACATGGTGACTAGCAACCATCTGTAACTCCGATGGCCTGTTCTGGCCTCTGCAGGGACCAGGCATGCAGGTGGCACACAGATATGCATGTAGGCAAAACACCCATACAAGTAATTTTTTAATTATTCTTATTTGACTTTGCTCTCTTGGTTAGAGACATTGGTCTCTGATTAAATATAATACTATGTTTGAGGCTGGTCTACAGAGTGAGTTCCAGGATAGCCAGGGCTACACAGCAACCACCCCAACTGTCCAATCTCTGTTCCCAGAGCTGCAGCTCAACATGATGTGACCTGCTCTCAACTGCCATTTGTCCTGACCTAACTTTGTGCTTTGGCCAAGCTCTGTGTGCATCTTGCCGGACTCCAACAGCTCCGTAGGTTCGTTAACACGTTAGCCACCGGCAGCGACACTCCATGCCTTAGCTCTCCTGTCTTACCTTCAGTAAGTCCTCTTTGAACCTATAGCATCTTTAACCCATTTGTTACTGTTCCGTAGCAAATATATAACATATATTGTGTGATCTGAAAAGTAATATTGGTAATTAAGTCTGAAATAAAAAGAACCTGTGACCGCCAATGATCATATTGAGTACAACCAGTAGTACTTGGTCAGCTCAGGCTGCTGTAACACAATAGCACAGACCGGATGGCACATAAACAGCAGACATGTTTCTTGCAGTTCTGGGACCTGGAAAGTCTAAAGTCAACATTGCCAAGAGATCACTGTCTGGTGATGGCCCACATCCCAGCATATAGATGGCATCTTCTCATGGTGTCTTCACATAGAAGGCAGCTCTCTGGCCTCTTGTAAAAGTACCAATTCCTTTCACCAGTGTTCTGACCCCAAGACCTAATTACATCCCAGCAGCCCGCCTCAATGTCACAACACAAGTGATTAGGTTTCAACTTAAGAATTTGAGGGGGAAAGAGAACACTAGCCTTTGCTTAACTCATAATCCTTCTTCCTCAGCCTCCCAAGTGCTAAGATTTCAGAAGTGCACCACTTCACTGGGCTTCTTTATATGTATTTGGTACCTTGAGGCTAGGCCTGTATCTTGAGGTAGAGTCTGTGATCAGCATGACTAAGCTCCACAGTGAAATGTGTAGTACAATCAATCAATAAACAAAATTAAGTGGGAGTTTATTTCCTTGTCAAAGCAGTGATAATTCATTGTACAAGGTTTTAAAGATATAAGGAAAATAAAGATATAATGTGTAAATTAATACATACACAATACACATATAAAGGAACCAGAAGCTGCCTGTAATCTTAGATCCAAATATAACCACTCTGATTATTTTTAATGAGTCTCCTTCCATATTCCTATTTTGTATGTACTTAGACCTGTGGTTGAATATTTTTCATATACCGAAAAAATTTTGTGCTGAATTCTGATTGCCTTGACCTTTTTCTATGTGACTGCCATTCTAAAACATTGTTTTTAACTAGAACTCTGTAATCTTTTCAGAACACGTGCATCTTTAAAAGCGTGTGCTTTTTAATGGGAGAGCAAGGTAAAGATACTGTTTTCCACTGTCACACTGCAGGACACCATGCACTCACACTCTTTCCACGCCTCTTCTGCATCACTGTCTTGGACATCTTCAGATCCAACTGTCTTGAATCACCTCCCAGTTTTCTGGAATATGTCCTTTTGTCACCTTCCCTCTGTCTAAAGTATTTCAAATGCAGCACTACAGATTCACAAAACCTATTTGCTGTCTTTACTCTAAACCACAAGTAGAAGAGTTGATTCTATCTAGAATAATCCAGCTCTACTTGTCAGTATAGTAATAAATCACAGAAGGGAATTTTTCCATAGATCTTTACAACATTAACTGCTTGCAATTCAGGTTGCTGTTGGTAGTGGTGATGGTGGTGATGGTGGTGATGGTGGTGGTGGCAGTGGAGGTGATTGTGGTTACATTATTATGGCATAAGATTCAAAAGGAAAGATAATTTTTACTGATCCATAATTTTCCTTCTTAAAATAGAATATACTTAATCTGCCTCCTGCTAGTGGATATTTAGCACAGGGTTTTCATGGAGCTTATTTTTGAAAAGCTTGGAAAAGATCTGGGAGAGAGAAAAAAAATCAATATCGTCAAGACCTGACATGCTTTAGTGGCAGTTTTAGGAGAATGTCTCCGACTGCCTGGGCCAAAACTAGCCTCCTCTCTAGAACACAGACTGTCCTTTGACTGTAACTGTTTCAATAACACCCTTAAATGACACCTACTCCTTCCTAACATGGTACCAAAGACTCACCAAAGTCTGACTCCCCTGTGCTCAATCTGGGAAAACAATGCATTTATTGTGTTACTTACAGAGCATGGGTGAGGGGTTGTTAGGTTACAGGAGCATAGGTTCACCAAAGCTGCTCCGTGGGAAAGTCTTCATTCACCATGGATGATGGCTTAACCACAGCTGCATAGACCGAGTCTCCTTCTGTCAACCTTTCCCAGTCTATAGGCTCTAGCCTACACACAACCCCAAGACCGAGAGGTTACTGGCAATTAGGGCAGAATTGTATCAAAATGACTGGGAGGCATAGTGTTACGAGAAGCTTTTTCTTTGCTAGCCGCTTCGGTTTATCGCCGCCAGTTGCCTGGCGCTTTGTAGACCCCAAATAACACACAAGACGCTATATTAATTATGAAGCTGTTGGCCTTGCTTGTTTCTTACTAGCTAGCTCTGACTTAAGTAATTACCCCATAATTGTTAATCTAAGTATGTTTCTTACCGGAGAATAGTTCCAGGCTTCCTACCCCCATGGTGTTACATGTTGACTCTCTTGTGTTTCTCCTTCCCAGAATCCTCCTGGACTCCTAGCCCCACCTATCTAGATTCCTATAGGCTCAACAGTACTTTATTGACAAATAACAGGCAAATAACAGGACTTCCCCAACAGCATAGAAGGGAGTGCCAGCACCTCAGCTGTAGATAGAATAGCATTCTCTCCCTACTTCCTTTCTGAGGGAATGTCACTATTCAACAACTCCACTGGTAGAGGTCTTTACAAGCAGGCATGGCTGACAAAAACAATGGCTGCCTTGTTTGGAAGACCGAATTCTACAAAAGTGTCTAAGCCCTTTGCCCCAGGGAACTACTGAGGTACAGGACAGGGAGTCCATCTTATGCCTGCCGTGACTGCCTCAAGCAGAGAGCTCCAGATGGCCAGGAGCTGTTAGAACAGGAACACAATCCAAAAGCAATGCTTTCCAATGGGCAAGCAGGCGTGTGAACGAGTGTGTGTGTGTGTGTGTGTGTGTGTGTGTGTATGTGTGTGATGGCCTGCATGGTGAGTTCCCCGTTAGTGGTGCTGGTAGCCTATTGCAGACGTCACCATCCATCCATTCCACCCTCTGCATTTCACAGTTGTTCTAAGTGCTGCAATGAAGACATCTAATTGGATTCTGGTTTTTTAACCAGGGTTTCAATATGTATCCCTGGCTGGCCTGAAACTCACTATGCACACTAGAATGGCCTTGAATGTGCAGGGATCCTCCTGCCTCTGTCTCCCAAGTGTTGGGATTATGAACATATATTGTCATACCTCGTCCTCATTGAATTCTATCCAGGAGGTAAGAGTTTACAAGGTATTTCTATTTTGTCTCTTTTTTAAAAAATGGCAAATATTGACAAACATCAAGGCTGGAAGATGTTATTTACAAAGGTTGTTGTAAGCTAAACTCACAGGTGGAGATTTGTGAGTCTTTATTGAACTTGATTATAAAAGTTTCTATCGAGCACTGTCAAACTCATGATCTGGGGAGAGACTTCAGATTTATAACTTAGTCCTAAATGGGCAACAGCAGATATAAAATCTGGAATTTAATATCAGCTCTGAAAATGTTAAATGGAGAGTTCGAGCAGTTCTCACTTTATGAACTGGCACACTGTGGGATGACAGGCTGTATTGGTTCCTGACAGGAGAGGCTGTCTCTAAAACGGATCGGAGTCTTTTCAGATCCCATTTCAAGGGATGTCCTCTTCATTTCCATCTAGTGCCCTGGCCTTAATTGGAGGAGAAAGCAAACAGCTTTACAGAGAAGAAGCCCTCCCTGCTGAGAGCTCACTGGGGTCACTGCTTGGGTGGACAGAACTAAAGAGAGCTGCTAAAGCTTGAGAAACTCACATGGTCTGGCCTTTTTGGGAAGAATTCCAATGCAGGGCTGGAGAGATGGCTGAGCAGTTAAAGGTACTGGCTGCTCTTGTAGAAGACCCAGGTTCAATTCTCAATACCCACACTGAGCCACTCACAACCATCCGTAACTCCAGTTCCAGGGGATACAACCTCTCCTCTGGTTTCTGTGAACATCTGCAGCACAGAGTGCACATACAATACTCAGACACACACACAAACACACACAAACACACACACACTATTATATATATATATGCATGTACACATATATGTATAATCTTTGATTAAGTATTTTAATTCCAGTGCAAAACCAACTGAGAGCTCTTTCCTTGGAGGTCCAGGATGGGCATCCTTGGTGCCACACCTTAGTTTTTTAAGTACTGTCCCCATGTGGAGAAGCCTCCAGAGGACTTTGCTTGTCTTTTTAGGGATTCAGGCCTTCTGAGTGGGTGGGTCTCAGCCATGCCTGACCCACAGGGCAACAAAGAGCAGTCTGAGAACACATAAATGCAGAGACCCATTTTGGGCATTCACTGAACTTACTATGAGACAGGTAGCCAGCAGAATGTTTGTGCTTAGGATCCCCATCTATAGATATCTCCAAAGCCCCCTATTTTAATTAGGGTTTCTATTTCTGTAAAGAGTCACCCTCACCACAGCAACTCCAATAAGGTCACACCTACTCCAATTAGGCCACACCTCCTAATAGTGTGACTGCCTATGGGCCTATGGGGGACATTTTCATTCAAACTACTGTTGGGCCCCAGCCCCCACGGGGTCTCTATGAGTCACTGGTCAGTCAACAAGTCCATCCTGTTTTCCAGTCTAAGTACATCCTGTTTTCAAGTCCTGGCTTCCTGTCCTGGCCTTGACCTTCTGACATCAACATTCAGCAGGAGGGAAACATGCTCTCTTCCACCTGGGGATTTTCCACTGTGCTGTAAACCTGTATATAAGACTCCTCCCTCCCTACAAGAAAGAGACCTCTCAACACTTGCAATAAAGACACACACACATACTCTCTCCTGGCAATAAAGGCAGCACATTCATTCTCTTAGTACAAACAGCTGGACATTTGGTCTTTCTTTTCCTGATACCTTGGACTTGCTTGTGGGCTCGGGCACCACAAACTACCACACCCTTAAACTGAAAGACCTAAAGTAATCAGGCTGAATACCCCGTGATGTCCTGAGCTCAATAACCAGACAGTTGGATGCAAACCGCAAGAGGTTTATTGTTTACACAGGGTCCGCAGGCGTTTCAGCAGCCTTAGCTAGCTGAGCGCGCTGGGCTGTAAGACAGTTTTCTTCTTATATACATAATCTTGGCAAGCAAAGCAATAGGGGTATTGTTAAAAACACGGGCATCCTTCCTGGAGAAACCGCAAGGTCAAAATTAAGCTTATCTCTTTTCCGCATTAGCACTCTGGAGCAGACGTTCTTTTTAATCTGACTTTGTTCCCTGCCTAGGGGACCTTGGGGAATTTTCCACTGAGGCGATCTTCTGAGCCTCAAAAGGGGGGGTGTATTGAGATCTTTCAAAGCTAGATATTGAGAAGCCAATGGCAAGATTTTAGTGTACCTTCTAGCCTTGGAGACCAACAGATGTTGGAGGAGCTTCTCTCTCCTAGATAGCTTCCAATTTAATTTCATAGGGCTTCTGTTACAAATCACCACAAATCAAGCACCTGAAAACAACACAAATTAATTATCTAACAGTTCTAGAAGTGCGATGTCCAGAATGGAGATTATCTCAAAAGAAAAAAAAATAAGTATTGTTAAAGTCATCTTAACTGATTGAAACAGAGATGTTTAAAGTAACTTTAAAGAGAGAGGGGTTCTGGGCTGGAGTGATGGCTCGGTGCTTTGAGCCCTGGATGCTCTTCCAAAGGACCTGGGTTCAATTCCCAGCACCCACATGGCAATTCACAACTGTCTGTAACTCAGTTCCAGGAGATCTGACATCCTCACACAGACATAAATGTAAGCAAAACCCTAATGTACATAAAAGAATAAATCTTTAAAAATGAGAGGAGGGCTCTAGGCAACAAAATCCTCTGAGTCTCTGAACTGAAGGAATTATTCTAAAAGTCCTTAAGCAGAGGCAAGAAAATCTGGCACGAAAGCCTAGAACCAGAGCTCGAGGACTATAGGCCCTCAAGCCACATGTCCGTCTGCTCCTCGAGGCAGGTCCTCCCACCCTCAAGCCACATGTCCATCTGCTCCTCGAGGCAGGTCCTCCCACCCTCAAGCCACATGTCCGTCTGCTCCTCCAGGCAGGTCCTCCCACCCTCTGTTCTGACTGTGACAGGAGCAACCAGCATCTACTGACTACACTAGCTGGGCTCTCTGACTTCTAGCTTGCATGCAGTCAAGCAGGGTCAGAGGACAATGGCAGAGCAAAGGAAAAATGTCTCTTCCTTGAGTCCCCTCCCTGCAAAACTATGCTTTGTCAGTTTCTGTGTCCCTCTAGCAGAGGGCCATAACTCCTGTGGAAATGCACTGTAGCTGTCCCCAAGTTCTGGTAACTGTTCCCTGCTTTTGCTCTTGATAAAATAATGACTCCACGGCTGCTGGGTCCAGGCTGCTAGGTTAGGGCTGTTTCAGCATCCCTTGTGGATTTGGAAATGCATTTGGAAGGAATCTTTTTGCTCTCTCCAATTGCTTTTCCACCTTGTGCCATTTAGTTCCTGCTTAAGCCTGACCTGATCCTGCTGCATCTTGAGTCCACCCAACAGAGAGCATGCCTATTTCAGTCACTGTCAGCCTCGATGGGAAAGGGGACAGGCCCAGATCCTAGAACTCAAACAATGTTTTTCTCTTTAAGGTGTGTGTGTGTGTGTCTGTCTGTCTGTCTGTCTGTGTCTGTGTAGCATGGCAGGGGGAGATATGCTATATGAGTCCAGTTGCCTGTGAAGGCCAGAGGCACCTGACCTCCTGGAGCTGAAGTTAAAGGCAGCTGTGAGCTGCCAGATGTGGGTGCTGGGAACCAAACTCAGGTCCTCTGGAAGAGCAGCAAGGTCTCCTAACTGCTGACCCACATCTCCAGCCCGTTTCTCTGTTCTGAACTAATGCTTTCTGCAATGACTCCAGGAGCCCTGAACACCAGCAGCACCGGGACTCCTCTCACACATTCCAGTTCCACCAGAGGAAAGCTGTGCTCTCACTGAAGCCAGCTGGGAAGGCTTGCATCTTCCAGTGGAGCAATCAACCAGCTTCTTTGTTTGCGTTTTTCTACAAATCATCTCTGTACCCAGTTACATTTGGAATATCAGAAAACAGTGTCTGGACTTTCTAGGTGCGGACAATCCAAGGACCAGATGCTTGGATGGTAAAAGGCACCATGCACAGCCACCTGGAAGCCAGGCCTTCTGGCACCATCTCAGCACATACATGCTTCTGACGCTCTTAATGTCTTCCACCAGGCTAACAGTTATGGTCCTTCCATGGGGCACTGTCAGCTAACGCTTTGCAGGAGTTATGACAGCTGGCTCGGAGCATAGAAAAGGACCAGTTCAGTGTCTGGTGAGAAGGGTGGAGGAGGAGAGGTGATGGATGGATCTGAGAAAGAGGCAGATAAAGGATATCTGCTTTATCTACTGTACATTTCGTAACTGTCCTGTGGGCTCTTGATTGTTTTTGTTTTCTCTATGGGTCTGGGTTCTCATCTTGGCACTGCTGCTAACTACCTATCTATGTGAGCCTTGATGTCTGCTATTTGTTTCTTCTGAAGATGGGATGCTAACAATCAGAGTCTATTCTACACATTCTTATGTTTCTTTCAGAAATACCAGTGGCATTTAGTTCTGCGGAGTTACAATTTAGTCTGACAAGAGCTCTTTAGACTTCAGCTTTACAACACAAGAGATTAAATGAACTCGGACTTGGAATCCAGCTACACTCTCACTGTTTGACCTTGCAAAATTATTCAGCCTCTCTGAATTTCAATGTCCTTGTCTGTAAAGCAAGAATTATGTCATTTACCTTGCATAACTGTGAGGATTATGTGAGACAGTGCATATGTACCCCAGCCATAAGTCAGCACCCCATGCCACCCAGTCACTGCATAAGGTAACCTTTGAGAAAAGCATTTCCAAAATCAAATGTAACTTGCAATGTCTTCTACTCAAAAACCACAAAAGGAATCCAACTTGTTTTGTTTTTATTTATTTCTTGTATGTTTATTTGTGTTTGTTTTTAGACAGAGACTCATTATATAGGGGCCTCAAATCAGAGGTGTTCCTGAATCCTGGGATTAGAGTCACCATGCCTAATGACCTTATCTATTTTATTTATTTTGTGTGTGTGTGTGTGTGTGTGTGTATGTGTGTGTGCGCGCGCGCGCGCGCACAAATGTGTCTGTAGTTGTTCTTGCTTATGCCTGTCCCTGTTTAGGCCAGTAGTCATCCTCTATTGTTCTCCTAGCTTTTAATTGTTATTTTTAATTTAAATGTAATTAACTTCATTTCATACAACATATTTGATCATGTTGTCCTATCCCCCAACTCTTCTAAGGTCCTCCCCACCTCCTAATGTATTCGTCTTCATGGTCTCATTCTCTCTTTAAGGAGAAAAAAAAAAGCAACAACAACAACAACAAACTCTACAAAACAAGCATCCAAAAAGACAAAGTGCCAAGACAAAGCAAAACAAAACAAAATGTCCACAAAAATATCATAGAATCCATTTTGTGTCGGCCAAGTACTCTGGGCATGGGGCCTGCCCTGGAATGTGGCCGGTATACTCTGTGACACTCCATTGGGGAATACTGGCTTTCCTTTTGCCAGTGGGTATCAATTGCAGATAGCTTCTTGGTTGGGGTGGACTTTGTGAGCTTTTCCTTCTCATGGGCCTGGCATAATTTGATCCTGCGCAGGTCCTGGGCATGCTGCTACAGCCTCTCTGGGTTCATACATGCATCAATCCTGTTGTGTCTGGGAGGAACTAATTCCTTGGAGTCATCCATCCCTTCTTTGGCTCTTACAATCTTTCCTCTTCCTTCCCATTAGTTTTTGAGACAAGGTCTCTCATAGAACCTAGAGCTTGTTAATTCAGCTTGAACGTAGCCTGGCTAACCAACAAAGTTCAAGATCCCTTACTGGTCTTCACCTACCCACCTCCTCTGAGACAGAATCCTTGGCAGCAGCATATGATAGGCTAACTGGGTTTGCCATAAATGGTTTGCTGTCTTCGGGTGCTTCCATCCCACATAGCCCCTCCCCTATGCATCGTCCCCTCCCCCACTCCACTGTGCTTACAAACAGGAGTCACTACATGTAGCTCTGGGGTTCTGGGGATGGGAACTCAGTATCAGACTTGCCCCACAAGCTCTTTTACTCACTGAGCCTTCTCCCCAGCCCCCAAGATTCTCCATAGGACCAGAGGAGGTGAGAGTTCACTGGGAGCTAATAGCACAAAAACTAAAGTTTTGTTAGTGTTAGGGGAGTGCGGGCATACTCCACACAATACTAAATATGGCCCTTAGCACTGAGGCTGGGCAGGGTAACACAGAATGCCCATGTTCAGGCCTCCTCCCTCATCGTTACTATTAGTTAGAGTTCTTCTCTGCCCTCCCAGGGGTTGCCATTCCAACTATTAATTCTTTTTTCTAATTATTTCATATATTACATCCTGACTACAGTTTCCCCTCCCCTCTCCATTCCCTGCCTGCTCCTCTTCCATTTCTCCTCACAAAAGGGCAAGCCTCCCGCGGGTATCAACCAACTGCTCTCTAGAGCTACCTGGAACTGGATGGAACACCTATGAAAGCCCACGCACTCTAGGAACTGTCTGAGCGGCTGCTCGGAAACCACAGCTAATCCCAGCCGTAAGACTGGCCCTCCTTCCAACCCAGGAAGTTCAAGGTGTCCCCACCCCCACTCCCCACGAGTCCATAAGACTGGCTCACCTTCCAACCCAGGAAGTTCAAGGTGTCCCGACCCCGACTCCCCATGAGCCCAGGGTCTCTTTGGGTGCAATGGTTTTGGGTCCCTTGGAAGTTTCTGTAGCTCCACCCCTGATGGATATTCCTCTTGGTGTACAGCTATTCCTCAACCTCTGGGGGCTGCCCAAGGGAGTTAAATTCCCACTATGGAAAGACAAAACCCGCTAAACCGAACGAGATGCTGAGAGGAGTGCCCACGGGAGCCTTGTCTCATTCCCAAAGGGGTGCCGGGTCCATTAAAGCTTCGCACAGCTGGCTGCTCCCATCGCTTCATTTTTACCTCACTCAGCAAACTAAACAGTCCTGGAGAGAAGGGCCCTGCAGAAGCGACGGATAAAACTGGACATTTCCCCCGCAGTCTCCTTTGAAACATATCCTCAAGGCTGCCTCAAAGAAAGAGACAGCTTCGTGTCTTTCTTCCTTTCTTTTTCTTAAGAATGGGAATACAATCTAGGACAGATGAGACCCAGGGCTTTTAAAAAACTTGGCACCTCGTTCATTTCTGCTTATAGCCACTAAGGGGCTTCTCCACTGCTCTCTCCTCCCGTATCATAGCCACTTCCCCCGGAAAAACACACAGATACAAAAAGGAGATGGGGAGAGCAGCAAGGGACACTTCTTAGATTCAATTCACTTTAATGAATACTGGCTGTGAAGGAGCAACTCACCTCAGGGGCTGCAAAATAGGGGAGAGCCCGCTTTTGTTCTCAGGAGTCCTCAGCTGCCCAGAACTCAGACTTCAATGCACAAAAGCAGGTCAGCCCAACCACGGGTACTGGGGTGCGGTGGGCATCTGGCAAGAGCGTGGCAGGGAAAAGAGCTGGATTTAAGACCTCAAAAACAAAACAAAACAACAACAAAGCGTTGGGCTGTCTGCAGCTCGGGTTGTCATGTGGGGTCTCTTTTTTGTTCCATATGGTTCTTTCTTCATTTTCTTTCTCTATTTTTTTCATAACCAAGTCTCTCCCCCTTCCCCCTCCTCCACTGGAGTCACCAAGCTTAAACAACCCTGTAAACCTGCTAAGGGCCCTCCCACTCTGACTCTGGAGAAAAAGATATCATTGGTCTAGCCTTTTTTGTACATCTGTCTGTCTGCAAAGGGAGAAGCAGGGCTTCTAGAACCGGGTTCTGGAAGACAGCCAAGAGCAAAACACCCAGCTCCCACTTTCATGGAACTTCAAAAATCAGGGGTTGGGTATAGAACCTCCAGTGGGGCCTAGGGATGTTAGCTCAGCAGCAAAGTGCCTGCCTAGAATGCAGGAGGCACTGGGTTTCATCCCCAACATGCCAAATAGAATAATAACCATGAAAACATACTCTGGAGTGGGGCTAACAGAACTGGCTTCTCTTTGCCGCCCTTGAGACCTTAGGCTAATCAAGTTGATTGTGACTCGGTTTGCTGATGTACGAAACAGGGACAGTAAACCCCTCGTCCAAGGCTTGTGAGGTAGAAATGAGAAGTGCTGTGTGAGTCAGCATCCACTACCGGCTGAGTGGGATTTTAGCGCTGCACATTTTAGCACCTAATGGTAACAGTGACTACACACTGTGCCTTGCTGTTTTCAAATTTGTTTCACATACATCTGTCTCATTCCACTCACAGTCTCATATACCTCTTGAGGACACAACAGCCCCGCATATCGTAAGGATTCAGTGGATAACTGGGTTTAGGTTGCAGGAGAATGTGGAATTTTTCTGTAAAGGCACTGATGTTTCCATCTGGGACAAGAGCAAAGAGAGTCTGAGAATTTCCATGGCTGAAATGCCAAATGTGCGTGTTTGCTCAGCAGATAAAGTGCGTTCCAATTGGGCTGTGACAGCCCTCTGTGACAGATCAGCTGTGGAGCAGAGGGGAACACAGCTGAATAAACCAGGGCACAGGGAGGAATTAGTGCAGCAGGAAGATGAGAGAGATGGCCAGTGCGAGGCTGCAACTGAATCCTCGTGGCTGTCCCGGTGAGGCACGGGTAGCTCTTCAGGCGGGGTGGTGCTCTGGAAATGCCAGAATGTGGTTACATCACGCCCAAATGGAAAAACAGCCAAACAGCAAAAACCACCAGCAGCACAGTGAGTAGGAAAGGTGGTATTAATGACAGTGTGGCTGAGCCCAAGGATGCTTAGTCCCCCACCCATCCCCTCGAAGATGCCACAGGGCTGTAGCCACAGAGAGAAATGTGCTGAGGTCAGAAAATGGTTCTTTTACCTAGTTCTTACTTTTTTATTACTCTGGGTGTGTGTGTGTGTGTGTGTGTGTGTGTGTGCATACACGGGTGTACAAGCACAAGCACATGCCACAGCACAGGTGTAGAGGTCAGAGGACAACTTGCAGCAGGAATCAGTTTTTCCTTCCACCTTGTGGGCCCTGGGAATCATACTTACATCCTCAGGCTTGGCAGCAAGCACCTTTCCCTACTAAGCCATCTCACCAGCTCAAAATGAGGGGAAGCTTTTCTTTTTTCAAGACAGATTTTCTCTGTGTAACCACCCTAAGTTATCCTGGAACTCACTCTGTAGACCAGGCTGGCCTCAAACTCATAGAGATCTACCTGCCTCTGCCTCCAGAGTGCTGGGATTAAAGAGAAAACTGACTCTTTTATGAGTGATCCTTGCAGGGCCTGGCAGCTAGGGAATAGGCAACTATCTTCCAGGCTTGGGTGGAGCTCTGAAAATAAGAAAGCATAAACAGACTCATAGAGCACACCTGTCAGTTCAGCACTTAGAAGGCCGGGGCAGAAGGATCTCCAGTTCAGCTCCTAAGTGGGGTGGTTCATTCCTTTAATCCCGGCACTTTGAGGGTAGAGGAAGGAAGGAAGGTAGAAAGGAGGCGGGGGGCAGGGAGACAGGGGTCAGCCAGCCAGAGATCTGGAAGTACCCAGGCCAGTTCCATTAATTTTACCAGCAAGGAAAACTAAGGTGCAGAGAAACGACTTGACCAAGGTCATGCAGGTGAGAAAGAGATTAGAAATGATAGCTCACCCTCTCTCAAATCCCAGCTCTTACCTCACTCTCCATGCAAATCTCCGTTAAAAGAGAGATCAGTGTCCCTCAACCCAAAATGACTTCCACATGGTGCTGTCCTTTTCCAAACTCAGTGGCATGGTTGGTCTCTTCCCCTCTGACTCTAGCCATGTCTTTCAGAACTGGAAAAAACCTTAGCAACGAGCCAACACCTTCCAACAGAAGCCTCTGCTGAGTTTGGCTCCCATCTCTATTGTCATCTCGTTACTCTCAGGATCAATGCTATCATTTGCTCAGCCACGAGACAGTGAGGCCGGAACAGCAATGCTCTCTCTGGATGCTAAGCTGGTCCCCAGTACCGGACGCTTGGAGCAGGCCAGCTGCTCTGACCCTGTCAGACACCACAGTCTCCTGCAAGCTGCCACGAGCCAGACAGCGGAAGAAAATAAGCAAGTTGGTGCTGGCTTGGGGCTGAGTCATAAAAACTCAGAGAGTCTGAAGGAAGGTGGCTGGCTTTGTGGACAAACAGCTCTCCCAGGCTGAAGGAAAATCACTCCCTGCCCTTCCTGCTGACAGAATGCCAGCAGGACAGGTGATCCGCTGAACCCCGGGGGGGGGTTGGCCTCAAAGTGGCATTATACTGCTGGTTTTTAAAAACTTCCCTTCCTTGCCAGTCCTCTGTTTTATATCTTTTAATTGTTTTTAAATGTGTGCCCTGTGCTAGGGGTGATTTTAACGCCGAGGGCGGCACTTTATGAGGTGCTGGGTAGGAGTTGTGTTTGCCTCCCCACAGGGTGTGGGCTGAGCAAACCGGTGGGGATGTCAGGTGGTATAATTTGGCTGCCTCCCGGGTTTCCTCTCAATGCCACTCTGGCCTCTGACCAGCAGTTGAATCAGAAATTTGGAGGGCAGAGAGAGGGTAGCCAGAGTCCTTTCGAAATATCTAAGTTTTGCTACTTCCCTGGCCAGTCAAGGAGAGCCAGCTTAAGGGGGACAGAGAACCCAGAGGGGCTGTCCTTCACGAAGATTTAGAGAATGTGTTGCTCCGTGGTCAGGAGGAGAAAAGTACAGTGAATAAGAAGAAGCTAGAATGCTAAAGGCCGTCCAGCAGTTTCTAGTGTATTCGGCATCCATGAGAAAGGCCACAAACATCCAAAAGGAGCCGTGGATTAACTATGAAATGTCCCCAAGTGTGCTCACATGTTTAAGCACTTGTTCCCCAACCGGTGGCCCTACACAGGAAGGTTGTAGGACCTTACAGAAGCGGAGCCTCCCAGGAGAAAGTGGCCCGCTAAGGGTGGGCCTTGCCATCTGTAAGACCTAGCCATGCTTCCTGTTTGATCTCTGTTTCCCGTTTCACCAAGGTGTGAGGGGAAGGGACCCTGCTATAGATACACTCCTGTCACCGTGGGGCTGCCTGTACTGTGCCTTCCTCTTCCTGATAGACTGTGCTCTCAAACCCTGAGCTAAAATAAACCCTCTATTCTTTCATTTGTTTTTGTCTGGTATTTTGTCACAGTAACATGACAAATAACTCTTGTGGGATTCTTATTTACACTGGGTGAAGATGTGTCACTGTGATTGGCTGAATAAAGGGCTGAGTGGCCAATAGCTAGGCAGGAGAGGTTAGGCAGGACTTCCAGCAAAAAAAGGAACTCAGGAGATGAATCCAGGCACGCCTTAGTCACCAGTGAGACACAGAGGGAACTGGACAGATAGAATGGAAGAAAGTTAAAGAGCCACATTGCAAAATGTAGACTAATAGAAATGGGTTAATTTAAGTTATAAGAGTTAGTTGTGAATAAGCCTAAGCTAAGGCCAAGCATTCATAATTAATAATAGTCTCTATGCCATTACTGGGGAGGAGGTGGTCCCTAAAGAAAGTCTGGCAAGTAACTGATACAGACAAAATATGTCTACCACCTTTTTTTTTTTTTAAGTGAGCCCAGCATTACTTTGATTCCAAAGTCAGACAAGGATATCACAAGATAAATTACAGGCCAGTGTCCTTTTGGAATAAACATGCAACAAAACACTAGCAAATCAAATCCAATAACACATTAAGAGGATTATTCACCATGACCAAGTGGAGCTGAATGCAACAAAACCAATCGTTGTAATACAACATATTAGTAAAAGGAAAAGTAAAGGCCGTATTGCCATTACAATAGATGGAGAAAAGAATTAGACAAAATTCAGCCTCTTTTCAAGAGAAAAGCTCAACAAATTGCCTGTGGATGGAATGTGCCTCAACACAGAAAAGCCATAGATGATGAATCCATAGCTGTGTTTTACTCAGTGGTAAACCCTTTTTAACAGCACTGAGGGTCAAACACAGGGCCTCTAACACACTGGGCAAGCACTCTAACACTAAGCTACAGTCTCACTGGTTATGTTTTATGCTTTAGGATAGGGTTTCCCTAATTTCTCAGGCTGTCTTGGAACTTGCTCTGTAGATGAGGCAGGACTTGAACTTGCAATCCTCCTGCTTCAGCCTCTTGGGCGTTTGAGATTACAAACCTATGCCACCAGGCCCAGCTTCACTGGTGGAAAAAAAATGTAAAAGTCTTTCCTCTAAGAAGGAAGGATGCTTCACCTGCTTCTGTTCAACACAACACTAGAAGTTCTCGTGAAAGAGATAAAAGACAAGTTCAGTGTCGCTATCAGCTGATGACGCGACCAGAGAAAACTTGAAAAATTCCACCAAAAGAAAACGTTAGCACTGATGAATATAAAAATCAGTAGCATTTTTACACATTGACAATGAAGTATTCAAGAAAGACATCAGGAGAATAACCTCACTAATAGTAACTATAGCTCACTGATTAAGAGGACTATGTGAGAGGCAGGGGAAATGGCTCAACAGCTAAGGCATTTGTTGCACAAGCATAAAGATGATGGGGTCCCGAGAGAGAGACCCTTGTAAATGCCAGGGGAGTGTGGCGGCCTGCCCACCTGCAATTCCAACCTCAGAAGAGGATCCCCAGAGCAAGCTGGCTAGTGAGGCTAATATTCTAATCCCCCTTCTTGCTGGGATAAAATACTCTAACAAGAAGGAACTTGGGTGAGAAAGGGTTTATCTGCCTTAAAATTCCAGGTTACAGTGTGCCACTGTGTGAAGTCAAGTGGCAGAAGCTTGAGAGAGCTGGTTACATCACATCCACGGTCAGGATGGAGAGAGATTGTGACTACACGCGTGCCGCTTTCTCGATTGCTTGCGCTCGGGTCAACTTCTCCACCGGCACAGTTTAGAACCCCCCATCTAAGGAAGGATGCCACCCACTGTAACAAGTCTTTCTCTGTCCCCACCAGCCAGCTCCCAAATAACGACAAGGAGACTTATTATTAATTATAAAAGCTCAGCCTATCGCTTAGGCTTGTTCCTAGCTAGCTCTTTTTTTAATATTTATTTATTTATTTATTATGTATACAATGCTCTGCCTGTGTGTATGTCTGCATGCCAGAAGAGGGCACCAGATCTCATTACAGACGGTTGAGAACCATCATGTGGTTGCTGGGAATTGAACTCAGGACCTCTGAAAGAGCAGCCAGTGCTCTTAACCACTGAACCATCTCTCCAGTCCCCTAACTAGCTCTTATATCTTAAATTAACCCATATTTTTCATCTATGTTCTACCACATGTCTTTTTGCCTTTATTTCATTCTGTACCTCCAACTTGTTCCGCATCTCCTGGAGACTCCTCTATTCACCTAGATTCATCCCCAGTTCCTGTCTTTGCCTGGAAGTCCCACCTATTCTCCCTGACTAGCTATTGGCCATTTAGCTTTTTATGAAACCAATCACAGTGACACACCTTTACACAGTGTAGTCAAATATCTCACAACAACCCACAGAGGACTTGCTGGGTTCTCCCCAGCAGACATGCCCAGAGGCCAACTCAGCACAGACAGTTCCTCACAAAGGCACTCCTCCTAGGCGGTTTCAGGGTATGTCAGGTAGACAATTAAAGCTGACTGTCACAACTAGTCATATCAGTGAGATCTATACTTGACTGAGAGACCATGTCTCAACAACTAAGGTAGAAGAGCAATCAAGAATGATTCCTGACAACCAGGCAGGGTGGCACATGCCTTTGATCCCAGCCCATGGGAGGCAGAGAAAGGTAGACCTCTGAGTTCAAGGCCAGCCTGATCTACAGAGAAAGTTCCAAGACTGCCAGGGCTACACAGAAGAACCCTGTCTTGAAAAACAAACAACAATAAAAAGATTCCAGGGGCTGGAGAGATGGCTCAGCAGTGAAAGCACTGGCTGTTTTTCCAGAGGACCTGCATTTCTATCCCAGCTCCTACATGGTGGCTCTCAACCTCTAGTTTCCAGGGGCTCTGATGCTCCCTTCTGGTGAGTGAGGGTACTTCACACACATGGTGTACAGGCATACATGCTGGCAAGACACCCATGTTACATACAATTAAATAAATACATCTTTTAAAAAATGATTTATGACATGAACTTTAGTCATCCACATGAAGTTCACACACATGTGCCAAACCATACATATACACACATGTTCACCATACACATGAAAAATGGGGGAGGGAGGCTTTGGAAGGTTCTTTGAAGCCAGATCTGTCTCCCCAGGTCCACTGCCTCCTAGTTATTGGTCACTTAGGGAAAGTGGCCTTTCTCTTCTGAGTTCTAGTTTCTTCATCTTAGTTAAATGGTGATGATTACAACGATAACTTCCTTATATGTATACTGAGTAAAGCAAACAGAGACGGAGATGGATAGTACAAATAAAATGTTTACTTAGCCCAATGCCAAGTGTGTGGTGAGTGGTAAATATTAGCTATCGCTGCTGTTATTACGTATTTAGTCTGAACTGGGCAATCATGAGAGAGGCAAAAAGAACAGAAAACACAGTCAGCAAGGAAATCTGCAGGTCCTCCAAGCATGGATTCAGCCAACAAAAATACTGAAGGAAAAACAGTGTCTAAGACCCAGAGAGATGGCTCAGCAGTTAATACCATTTGCTATGCCATTGTGAAGATCAGAGCTCTCATCCTGTCACCCATGTACAAGACAAGCATCCAGCAAACACCTGTGACTCCAGCTCAAGGGATCCAGAGGCCTCTTCTGGCCTGTGCATGTAAGCTATGTGCATCTTCCTGTGTAGCTGAAAATCTCCAGACTGCTTGTGCCTAATGCAGTATAAATGGTATACGTCTCACTGCTGCTCCATATTGTCTAGTGAATGATGAGAAAATAACCTACATACTTAATGCAGACACAGTTTTAATGTGTTTATTTATATGTGCAAGTGTTGTACAATTTTATATAAGGGCCTTACTCACCCAAGGATTTTAGTATCCACATGTGGTCCTTGAACCAATTCCCAGGGACAACTCTAGTCACTGTCCCTGAGGCAAATGTTCTTCAAAAACCTGCCCTGCCCCCTCTCTGCCCACCCAACCAACAGACGTAATAAAGAGCCCCAGTGTTACCTCTCCACAGCTTTGTGCCTCTGTCTGTATCCTCCAACTCTTCTTCTGCAAGATAGAAATGATAGGGGAAGCTCAACACTGATAATAGGTGAGTTCACTT